AAAGGGTAATGTGCTTTATTCCAGGGACTAAATTTGAGAATCATCTGAACTATAGAATGATTCTAAAATGATTTCTTTTGATGAACAGGTTTTAAATTAAGCCGTTGCTGAAACTGAATTATTTTTTAATGGCAAACTACCGTGTCATAAAGAAAAATAAACTTAGGTCTTTGTAGGAAAATGGACACACCTTGAGTTGATGAGGTTAAGTGATATAAATGAAACACACAAGCTTAAGTATCACATGATTTCTCTTATGTGAGAAACCCAAAATACAAACAAAGAGCAAAATAAATAATAGATAATGGGAAGTAGGAAGATAGAGGTTTGTCAAATAGGAAGGGGACCAAAAGGTGGAGAGAGGGGAGTGGAAGGGGATGAAAAAAGGAATTAAGATGTGTTATTACACATACCAACTCCCCACTAGGACTGCAAACATTATGTACTGCGAGCATGTACTAATAAAAAAGAGGGATATTAGAAAAAAAGAAATTGAAATGTTAATGGATAACATATGGTGACATTCAGAGTTGCTGGGCTTCAGGGGACTAACGACATCATGGTATCTAGTTTACAACTGAAGGTGGGGTTGCTCAAGGTGGGGAGGAAATTAAGAATGTTCATAGTGTGATCATGCTGACCTTGTTGGAATTAAGTGAATTCTGGGAGGTCTCAATAATTTGACATGGCTTAAATTGTTGAATTGCAACTAGGCACATGAACATATGCAACATGTTTTCTTATCATTGTTCTGTTTTCAGTTTTTGTATCTAAACTTCAGAAAGAGTTAATGCTTACTAAATGAAGCCTCATAATTTTTACATTGTGTAATGTGATGTCTATAGTCTTATTTGTTCTCAAGCTAAGACTTCTGTGAACTTACAAAGCAAGAGTTTGATCTGAGCTCTTTTGGATACCTTTCTATTTTAAGTTAGGCTCACTGGGGTGAATTAGCTGTAAAATACATCCATCTCTGGAGAGCTGAATGACTTGAATGGTTGAATGGGAGACTTTTAATAAGATTTTTTTTGTAGGAACATCAGCAAAGAACAATTTTCTTTTCCTTTAATTAGTACATTCCTGTCCCATCTGTTAATATCTAACCAATGATTTCAAAAGCTACTTAGCATTGTTTTTAGTGGAGGATAACGGAGGGAAATTACTAGTTACAAAGAACACTTGAGTTACCATATGAATCGCATTTGAGCAAATATTTTGTTTGTTCATCGTCCTCTTTCCTCACTTATTATTTTTAGATCTATTTTACTGATTTCATGATTTCAGTTGATGAAATCATCTATTTTAAAATTACAATAAAACGTTAGTAGGCAATGTCAATTTGAGAAAAATTACAATGTACATAACAGAAGAAAGATAAATGTCACTGGTTACCTAAGAATTAGGTTGCTGTCATGTATCGACAGTAATAGCCATGTTTGGTATGATATTCCAATGACAGATATGAGTGCTGCAATTACTTTAGAATTTCTAAGGGCTATTCTTGCTGTATAAAATTGAGATCACTGTAGGAAGGTTGCTTGATGTGAAATTCAGCCTGAAAGTTGTTGAAACAGGTTTGCACTTTTGAAGAAATAAAATTGGCCATCATCTTGCAGGATTAACTTTTATCTTCAAGAAATGTGAGGTGGTTGATATTTCTTAGCTCTCAGATATCTTATACCTATAGAGCTCATTCAAGAAAGTTGCTAGACAAAAAATAGGATCTACTATTTGGGCAGAATCTTAACAGCTATGGTAGCATGAGGTGTTTGTTTGTTTATTTATTTATTTATTTATGCTTTTTTAGGTGATTTATCAAATATTTCACAGTAGATAGATGAACATCCTGCTGTAATGATTCCTGGGATTCCAAACTATTAGGGAGCCCTGCAAGGCATTTTATATGAGTGGAAGAGCTATGAACTGTCAGTGGCAATTTGGACTTTTTGAGCTTCCAATTACAGAGACCATACTGTAGGCCAAAATGACCTTGAAATTGTATTTTTTGTTTCACTTGTGTGTTAGTTACTTTTCTCTCACTTCTGAGACAAAATACCCAACACCCAAAGTTAAAGGGGAAGAGGTGTATTTGGCTTAAAGTTCTTAGAGGTTTCAGTCCATAATTGGCTGGCTCCAAGGCAGGAGTGACAAACAGGCATCGCAGAGAAGAAACAACATGGCACCCATACAGTAGCAAAGGCAGCAAGAGAGAGTTTAACAGCATCGCTCTGCCCCTTTTCTTATTTTGATTACTGGGATTAGGACGGTGCCAAACTACTCACATATAGTGGCTTAGTAATCACACACCAGCAACACACATTTCAGTTTCAACTACTTCTGAAAAAGAAAGTCCCACCTCATCCATATGAGGCCTGGGGCGGGGGGCATCTAAACATAAACCATAACAACCTGACATTTGCACCCAAAGCTGACCATTGAAAGCTAAAGAGATTGGATTATATTTTATTTAACAAGTTGATTATAGAAATTTTATACTTCATTTTTAAATTGCCTTAGCTGATTTCCATGCTTAGCAATAACTTGTGTCTAATTTTTTTAAAGTGCCTGAGAGTTCTTTCTAAGAAAAGAAAGCACATTTCTGGGAGAGGCTACATTTGGCATATTTCCCATTGCCTTGGATGCGATTGAAGAGAAAACTGATCTAAAGAATGTGCGGAAATAGGGCCGGGGATTTAGCTCAGTGGTTTCACCGCCTGCTGCGCAGGTGCAAGGACCCAAGTTCGATCACCGTTACCAAAAAAAAAAAGAAAAAGAGTGTAAGGAAATAGTGGGCAGACTTCATGTTCTGGAGATAATTCTTAAAATAATTGAGACTTTTTTTCTCGTAAGATGTAAGAGTTGCCTCAAAGTTGGTGATTTGTGGTCCAAATAAATATAATGTTTATGAGACAGTTGTTCCCAAGAGTTTCAATGATAAGGATTCCTTATTTATTATTTATTTATTTTTTGGTACTGGGGATCAAACTCAGGACCTTGCTCTTACAAGGCAGGTGTGGTGCCACTGAGCTAAATCCCTGGCCCAAGGAATCCTTATTAACAAGGTAAATAGTTTTGCGTTTAATATGTTTTAAGTGAATTATTTTTAGTACCAAAAGCTTGCCCTTTCTAGGAAAATGTGTAAGTCTAGAAAAATGTAAAGAAAACATGTAATTCTGCCACTAAAACCAAACAAAATCAAAATTTTGTTTATTTCCTTTTGATATTGTTTCAACTCATAACTGTATCCTCTGTTACTTCACCTTTTACTACTGCTACTGCAGTTAATACTACTGCCACCTTTATCACCCATCATTTGTTGAAAGTAACGCTAACTTGTTAGAATTCACATATAAACCTGCAAAGTTTTTTTAAAATACCATTTTATAGATGATAGAATGGAAATTCAAAAAGCAAGGCAAATTACATGGTTATCAGGGCTGAGATCCACATATGTTTCACTCTTAATATTTTATTACACACACACTTATCCTAAAAACAATTTTTTATCCTGCTTTTTTGCATAAAAGTCACAGTTTCCCATGCCATTAATTCTCTTTATAATTTTAATTGAAGCATACAGTAGTCCATCCTAGCAGTATTGTTCACAGTAATACATTTTTAATTGTGTTTATTTTTATATACATCATTTTATTTCTTATACTCAAATCATTGTATCATAATGTATAAAGATTAGGTCGGTTAGACTGAGGTCTCTGGGATGTCACTGGAAGTGGAGAGGGAGGGCTGATGTTTAAGCAAATGGTCACTACTATAGATCATTTCCTGAAAGGCATTTGCTGAATCAATGTGGAGAAAGGATAGCTTGTATTCTTTTTTTTTTTTTTGGTACTAGGGATCGAACTCGGGACCTTGCACTTGTGAGGCAGATGGCAGAACCACTGAGCTAAATCCCTGGCCCACTTGTATTAATTTTTTAAAATTAAGACTTTAAATCTAAAATTCCAAAAGTATTTTTTCCTCTCTGTGTTACTAAGGTCATGATTTTCATCGTATTCAATTTCAGACTTCTCTGACAGTGTTCTGATTGTGCCCCTCCTGAAAAACTATTTCTAATGTCTCTTCTACTTTGATTTTTGTGAACCTAAGAAGTAGTTTGGAACTTCTTATCCCAGTGAATGAAATTATCACTAGTTCTGAAAAACCTTCCTGTTATCCATTGAATTCCAATTACAGAATTTATACATGTCTTTCCTACTGACTACTTATATTTAATCTCCTATCTAAATTATGTTAAATTTCAAATATCTTGTTCAAAGAGTTTTGTCTGGATTGTTGCCTCAAATTAAGATGCTTGAGGAAATATCCCCCAAAGAAGCATGAGATGTAGATAGAGGACTGTCATATTTGTTTTAATCAGCAAATTAAAAATAAAAATCTTAACTGCTTTTATCCAAACTCTTTCTTGAGCACCCATCCTGTGAGTGGTATTGTAGTGGAAACTGGGAATACAGCAGAGAACAAATTAAAAATGATCCTTGCCTGTGTAGAGCATAAACCCTAGGAAGAGAAATATGCAAAAAATATGTTTAAAAATTCTGTTTTTACTGTAATTGTTTATAGCAAAATACATGTCTGTTTTTAATAATATATAAAGTAGTCAAAATAGTTTGCTCTATAAATATTTTGCATTTTGTTTGTATTTTTCTTAAACCAAATTACTAACTTCACTTTAAAATGTTTGTTCACTGGTTTTCCCATAATCTTTGTAGCAAAAAAAATTCTAGAACAATGAAATCATATGAACTTTGTTGGTTCATCATTTATTCATTAAATGAATAAATACTTTGTAGAAAGGAAAATTGCTCTGCTTTTACTGCTGCCATGGAACTACTTTGTTCTCAGGTCTTTAGAAAATTATTGGATTCCTAACAAGAAAATGTATTTGTAGTGTGCCAGAGCATTGCATGACTCTGTGAAGCCTCACAAACTATGAAAGAACTTGTCAGATGTGTCAGCAACTCTTCTCTGTCTTGCCATAGGTCCAAGGATCTTATAAAGGAAGCTATCCTTGACAATGACTTTATGAAGAACTTGGAGCTGTCACAGATCCAGGAGATTGTGGATTGTATGTACCCAGTGGAATATGGCAAAGACAGCTGCATCATCAAGGAAGGAGATGTGGGGTCACTGGTGTATGTCATGGAAGGTATGGTTCATAAACCTGATCCTTTGACACTCAAACATTCCCTTTTCATATCAGCCTGCACACAGATGGCAGTTTATTACATGAGACAATTCCATTTTTCCTTCTTTTGTTGAGAAGCAGTTTGAAGTGAAATGCTATTTAGATACAATGTTTGGCTAATTATATAAAGTGTTTGTGTTTAGAATATTAATATGAGACTCCAGTATTTTTATGACTTGTGGAATAATGATAATATGAAGAATTGCTGTGTATTGTACTGGATAAGACTACAGACTGTTAAAACATTGAGTACACTTATGAAGTTTCAACAGAAGCTCAAAATCATTGGAAGCATTTTTGATAAAATCAAAAGGGCTTCAAGTCTACCTTTAACATTTAATATTTGACTAGCTCTCTGTATGTGATACTTCCATAAAAAGAAAATGTTTTCAGTGTTTTACATGTGTATGACAGAAGCATATTATAACGACTAGATGGCATATTAGTTGCCTAACTAAAAAGAGTAATAACTTGTTTCATAAATCTTACTCAAATAAAGACAGAAACTGCTTTGAAAATAACTGAGGCTTGCATTATATAAGTATTTTTATGACTAGACAAGTTTCATAATGCCCATTTCTAAATTGGAATTTGTAATGGTATGTTTTCCTTTTGTGGGAAGTAAAATTCCTAAAATGACTCAATCAGCTGAGAAGAAAGTGAGATCAGAAATGTCTGTGGTATAAAATACTTATAATACAAAAAATCACAATTGGTTTATTAAGTGTGATTAGTATTTTACCCAAAACATTCATGATGATGTCCTATAAGTTTCAAGTTTGTAGGTCATTAAGATAAAAATATACTTGGGAACATCAGTTAATTTCTCTGGATGCCACTTTTTTAATTTGTAAAAAAGGAGATTCTGTTTCTTTTTGTCAGTGTTTCTAAACTAGTGTTCCTTGGGGAACACTTTACAATATCTGGAGATTTTTTTGTTGTCATAGTTGGCTGGGATTGGGGAACTAGTGGTGTCTCTAATGGGTAAAGGCCGGGGATGCTGTTCACAAAGGTGGTTGCCCAGAAAGAAGTATACCTTGCCCAAAGTACCATTAATGCTGACATTAGTAAACCCTGATTTCTGTCTTCTTTATAGGATATTAGGAAGTTAGAATGGGATGATTCGTATAAATGTTGAATGTAAAGTATAGTACATTACAGAAAAATATTACTTGTATTAAATACTTGACAGTATGTAAGAAATGTTATTTCTGCATTTGTCATTCACTTTTTAATTTTTCTTCATAGTCTTCGTAGATTATATATATATATATATATGGCATTCAATTTTCAAGTAGCAATTTCTATAATTATTTTCCATTATAGTTTTCACTTTTTGTGAAACTATTATAAAGTTTTTATCAATCCCCAAAGATATAAATATTCACCTAGGATTTTTTTCTGGTAAAATCAAAGCACAGTAAACAAGAGGAAAAATAATGTGTAGTTGACAGAATTTCAAGAAAAGGGATGAATTTATAGGGAAAGGGATATGTGGCTAGTGAGTAGGAAGGATGAGAAAAATTGGAAGAAATATACAGAGGTCAAGTGTAGAACACAAAAGTAGAGGCAATGTGGTAGGAACTACTAACAATCAGAAATCACATTTAAAAGCATTTCTGGGAGGGCTTCATGTGATGTATTTTTCAGTAATTATATTGGCAGGCATCTATTTAAGAATACAGCTAAGATATACAGGAAAGCATGCTTTTACTTCAGTTGTTTTCAAATGTTAATCATTGGTTTTCCATTTAAGCAACCAAAATTTGAAAACCTGTGGATTAAATTTTCCCTCATCTTGAATATTTGTGCCCTCCCCGCAAAAGATATCCAGGTAACCCTGTAATTTTTTTTTTTTTTTTTTTTTTGGTACCAGGGATCAAACTCGGGACCTTGGATCAAACTCAGGACCTTGCGCTTGCAAGGCAGGCGCCAGAATCACTGAGCTAAATCCCCGGCCCCTATCCCTGTAATTTTTAAAAATTCTATTTATCCACCTTAACCTTGTTGTCAAGAACTAAGTGCGAGTTTTATAGCTATGTTAGAATCTTGGAAATAGTTAATATTCATTGAATACTTAGAACAATATCCATCATATAGAGTATGCTTTTTCTAAATATTTTGTATGTATAAAAGTTATTTAATCCTGAAAACAATCTTGTGTGGTAAAGGCTGATGTTTATTGTCCCTTGTTATGGATGAGGAGATCAAGGCTCAAGTCTCCCAAGTTGTGTACAGTAGTACTGTGAGTATTTTTACCCAGACAATCTGGATTTAGAACACAAGCACTGTGCATTATTCAAGATTTTCTAGAGAAATACAACAAAAGATGTGTGTATATACAGGGAGAAAGAGATTTATTTCAAGGAATTGGAGGCTGGCATGTCTAAAATGCTTTGGGTAAGGCTGGGGGTCAAAGGCTCAATGGAAAAATTGGTGGTGCATTTGAGTCTGAAGCTGTCTGCTGCAGAGCTTCTTCTAGGTGGGAAGTCAGTCTTTTTTTTTTTTCTTTTTCTATTTGGGCCTTCAAATGACTGGATGCATCCCACCCACATTATTGGAGGGTAATGAGCTTAACTCAGAGTCCACTATTTTAAATGCTAATGTCACCTAAATATACCTTTATAGAAACATCCAGAATAATGTTTGACCAAATATCTGGTATCCTGGGCTGGCCAAATTGATGTGTATAGTTTACTTTGTAAGTTCATCCCTTGTCAAATGGATACCTGTACACATCTTGTTAAATCAAACTTAATCTCCAAATAGACAATAAATAGGTCATACTTCTAACTAACATGATACTGAAAAAGATGCTCAATCTTGTGTTTACTCATCTCATTAAGATCCTGTAAGTTTAATATGATGATATATAGTTAATGATCCTTAAATACTATGATATAAAGTCTATAATCTTATGATAAGGAGATTAAAAAGCTAAGAAAACAAGTATGTTTGTTATGTCTGTGCACACATCCATCCACACACAAATTTCTTCCTTACAAAATATGCAAGAAATACTCATGAGAGGCTGACTGTATTGTTTCTTCAGGTGAAGTTAGATATACTAATTTTCCCCCCACTGCTTCAAAGTAATTTTAATAAATTTATTTATCTTCTCTTTACTGTTAAATTGACTAAATAACACATAATCTTAATTATCCATTAAAACCCTATTTTAAGGGTTGGGGATTTAGCTCAGTGGTGCCACGCCTGCCTCACAAGTGCAAGGTCCTGAGTTCGATCCCTAGTACCCCCAAAACCCCTTATTTTAAACAAGGTTCTAAATAACACATAAATGTTTAGAGACACACATTTTGCTGCGTTGCTGTTAACTGCCTTTAAACTCAATAAAATGACCATAATCTTATAAACTCATGCCAGTTTTTCTGAAACAGTAATTCTGACCAGCTCAATATAACTTCAGCTGATCTTGTGCTTTTATCATTATGTCCAAATAATTTAAAATAAAAAAACTGTCATTTAAATTTTTATGTTTTAATTGAGCAAATGTTTTATTGCATAATTCATTTTTATCAACAATTTCAATATGGTCAAAGTTAAGATAACAATGTTCTTGATATAGATAGATTCTTTTTTGCTTGTGAACATTAATATTTATAAACAGTATAGTATAGAAACAATTGAAAGGCTATAAAACAGCTTTCACAAACTTACTTACTATCAAAGCATTCTGCAAAAGACTCAGGGAGCTTATTTAGAAAATCAGTATATTTTTTCTTTTCTCTTTAGTTAAATGAAGTGTTCATCATAAAATGTTTGGGTAACATGTGCTTTACTCTTTTTTTTTAAGTCTAGGCAGTGTCCCAAATGTTACTGCATACCTAAATGCCAGAGTTTCTCATGGTTTTACCTAGAGAATAGTCATATGGTAAAACTTCACTAATTAGGATAACAAGGGGAAAATCATCTGGGAGTAGTATGCATATATTATCATGTATTTTCAAGCAAAATGAATTGTGTTACTTTCAGAGACTTATAATAGTTGTCTAGTAGAAGTCTCAATTTCAAATTTTGTTGAGAATTGTTTGGAATTAGCTTTTACAAGCAGTAGCATAAGTTTTAAAAAGTTGCTTCGGGCTCGTTATACATTTTAATTATATTTTCAAATATATGTGATGGTTCCACACTATTTCAATCTAGTTTATTTTCTTAAACAAATAGACATGGGCCTTGTTTATGATGTAACATGTGTTAACACCCTTACACCCTTGTCCTCTTTTGTCATACAGATGAACTTTGATTTACGTTCATTTAAAATAAAACAAATTCTGATTTAGTGATTTAGAATTGAGGATATTTTTAAATTTGGTAATCTAATTTGATATTCTAGTACTTAAGATGTCTATATCTGTTAAAGTGATTGATTTACTTAGAGACAATGGTTTTGAGCAATTTTGTCATCTTTCGTTGTGGAAATAGATTACTTTTTCTTAAATAGCAAGTGTTTGGTGTTTTTTTGACCACTGGTTATTTTAAGTTAAATATTTTAATGAAAATATCAATATTTTTTCATGAGGTATTTGTTAATGACAATGACTTTTTAAAAGTACTGTTTTTGCCAAGTACTTATATGCCAGGTAATGCTACATCACTTTCTAGGTATTAAATTTTTAATCTTCATAACAACCTTGAGAAATAGGCATTCTGTTATCTATATGTAAATAGATGGGGAAACGGATACCTGGAGACACTAGATAACTTGGCTAAGATGATGCCATCAGTACACTGAAATGCAAGTTCTAGGCATGGAGCTACCATACCATACCTAAGTAGTATTTGGCAATGCTAACTTTCAAAGAACAGATTAGAAGTTATATATCTATTGTCAACACTAATAGATGTACATCATTATGGTATAATAAAATGATTTAATTTCAAGGAAAAAAAATAGGACAGCAAAAGTTAAAAAAGAAAATCAAGGAGATTTCCTATAACTA